TCATAGAATGAAGATATCTAAGAACATTTTTAAGAGAGAGAGAATGAATTCTTTAAATTTAATATCGATCAAATTCAATATTAATAATTGATCAGAAGAATAAATATTATTATATTCACTTTCTTAACTAATTAATAATGCTCAAAAAAAAGAAAAAGAAAATAATTTTTCTTTAATTTAAAAATCAATTTCTAATAAATTTTATTATTTTCACTGATTTTCATTTCACAGTTGTCAACTAGATTTTAATTCCAGATCAAACTCTGAACCTGTTTTCTTAATTGGATTTAATTATTAAATAAAATTAATCAGAAGATATTCTCATTGTTTTTTAATATTTACCATAATGCTCATTTATATCTTTATTCAATAAAGACAAGATTAATTTCTCTCTTAAGAAGCATTTATTTAAATTTGGTTTTCTAGATAAAAAGCTATTCGATAAGAAAAATGATGAGAATTATTTCAATTGAAAAAGCATTTTATAGTTTGAAGTATAATCATACGCAGTATTCAATAAAATCAGAATAAATAATAATTAACTTCAAAATTAGTATTCAGACATACTTCTATTGAAATTCTAACCTTATTAGATTAATCTGAAATCGTCGATAAAGAAATTAACAGTTCAAACCAGAATCTATTATTCGTTTTTATTTATTTTTCCGTTCTACGTCAAATCTTCTATATATTAAAATAATTTGTTCGATTAAAGAAAAAAAGAATAAGATTATTTGTTCATATGTGATCTATTTGTTGAGAAGATTTGAGAAAATATTCATGTTTCATCATGTTTTTAATAAAACCAACAAAATCTCATATACACCATCTTGATATCAGAAGAATTTCTCTTCAATATCTTATCGAATCAAATTTTAGATCATTTTCCGATGGATTATCGACATTGGTATTTTCGAGAATTTATTCATTAAAGACCTAGAGAAATCAACTTGAATCAATTTTTTATTTTTTAATAAAATTAAAAACTTCCGAATTGAATCAGAATTAAATTGTTAGTCAATGAGTAATGGAATTACTCGAACGATTTCACGATTATAATAAAGGACGCGTAGTAAGTAATTTGTTTTTCAGTTTTCATCATAGTAACTAATAGTATGAAAATCGATTTAAGATATATTCGTATTGTTTTTAAACTAAATAGATCAAATTCAATGCTATCTTTAATAGTTATCTATTAAACTCTATTCTTAAAACAAAAAGTTGTATCATATATTCATACAGGATTTCAGAGAAGAGTACATAATTGTGCAAGTATATGACTAAATAATTCTTTTCCTCAAATCAGAATATACATGAGTTATTATATATATATATATGCTTTTGAAGATTGATTTTTTAATAGTTAGTTGATAATCATGATTACGAGCACAAATTGGTCTTATTAGTCAAGAATCAGCTCTTATGTTGGGTCTTACTATTGTCGAAAATATATCATATGGCTGTTCATCACATACATTTACTTATGAAGATATCATTAATGCAGCTAGGCGAGCTCATTGTCATAATTTTATAGAAGCATTACCAATGGTATGTTTTACTCCGTTTTACATACTTTAAAAACTACAATTTTTATCTATATGACATGTTGAACTTTGAAAACAGGCTGCTTTATAATAAAAAAATGATTATTTTATAAAATTTTAGGGCTATGATACACCTGTAGGATTGAATGGAACTTCATTTTTATCTGGAGATCAAAAACAGCGTATTGCTATTGCACGAGCTCTTTTTCGTAATCCAAAATTTTTATTACTTGATGAAGCAACAAGTGCGTTGGATGTACATAATGAAAAGGTATATAAAATTTGTTTGTCTATTTCTTATAAAATACAAATTAACGAAATATTAGATCGTATATAATATTTGATTCTATTATTTATCTCTTGTTGAAACTTAATAATGTAATTCATAGTAGAGAGTTGAGAAATTCGACACTACTGAATAATTAGAAAGCAATTAATAGTCAAAAAATTTACATATTATTTCTAATTTTTTTCAGCTTGTTGAAGAATCGTTGAATGTTGCACGGCAAGATAATCCATCACGAACTGTTATTATTGTTGCACATCGTCTTTCAACTATTCAATCATGTGATCTTATTTGTGTTCTTGGTCCTAATGGACGATTATTGGAAAGTAGTACACATGCAGAATTAATGGCACATGGCACTGCTTATCGTAGATTTGTACTTGATCATATGTGAGAAATAGAATGACTATAAACTTTATTCAAAATGATATCTCTCAGTCTTTGGCATAAAAATGGATTGAGATTTGTTAGTCTTTAATGTATAATATCATTTCTTAATTAAGAAAAAATTCATATTAATATTATTAAATGACAAAAATTTATTTTAAAAAATAAAGATAGCTCCATTAATCAAAGCCAAAGTGAATTAAGTCAAATAAAATCAAAAAACTAATTATGAATTAGAATGTTGCATAGTTTTTGGATTTTTTCTTATCGTTGAGAAGATCACGAATTTGAATTATATAGATTTATTTAATATTATAGAATGATTTATAAATAGAAAAGATCATCAAGTTTAGAAATAAATATTCTGTGGTCACTTGTCAAGAATTATATATTATTAATACAGAGTATCATGCAACAAAATAAGCGATAGAATTAAAAAGAAAGATTAATTTTGATATTTATATTAATGAATGTTTGCCACGACGGAGAACGAAATCACTTGAACTTATCACGAAGAAACCGCTAGATCATTCATTACACCCTTTTGGTTACCTTGTTGTCTACAACCTCATTCACACTTACAATTTATTCATATTCGTCCTAATTCTTGGGATTAGTCGTCGATTTCTTTTTCAATTAACTAACAAACTAAAATAAAAGTCAATATAGATACAAAAAAAATATTCATTTTACCTTATATTTCTATTCAAAAGTTTCTTTCTATTAATTTTGTCGCTTGAGATTATTCTTAATAGATTGAATATCTTATCTACTTTTGCTGAGAGAAGTAATTTTTAATTGACATATTCTTATAAAATGCAAGATTATATAATTATTCATTCATCAGCAAATAAAGAAAAGAAATATTATTTTTCATACATCAAACACGTTTAAAATAAATCAAAGATTCTCTATGATAATTCTTATACGATTGTAGAGTACTAAATATGATTATATCAATGAGCCGTTCATAACTGAAACAGTCAATCAGGAAATTTGTTTCACTTGACCCTCGAGTCATACATATCAAGGAGAAATGGAAAGAAAAAATAAAAATAATTTATATAAAGACATGTACTTGAATAGGTATTTCTCTCGAGTTCTTTTAAACTTCTATGAATGAATGAAAACATGGATTGAGAAATTCTCTGTGCTATTGTTTTGTGTGTTTTTCCTATGTAGAGAAGATTTTGGGAGATGGTCACGAAATAATCAATTATTTTCATACGATTTTAATCAATAATTTTGACAGTAATAAGTACACATAAATCAACTATTTTCTTTGTATAGGTTGTAGGGATATACTTTAATGAAAGCAATGTGATCGACGCATTTCTGTTTGAGGTCACACAATTGCTCTTTGATAGGAGAATAGGATACAGTCGTCAAAACATTCTATTTGTACCATTGAATCATATGTATTATTCGATGTTTCCCATTCGATTCAACCAGGAAAATAAAAAGAAATAAATTATTCTCTTTATTTTTGTTATCTAAATGCAACAAGTTACTTGATAAAAACCAACGGAACTGAATTAAATCAAGTATCCGACAAATATGAAGTCATTGTTTTCCTATTATTCGTTTCTAATTTCATTCATTTATTTAAAAATATCTAATATATTTAAGAAATTCGTTATTTTAAAGATTCATGAGTTATAACCAATCTATAATTACATTCCTTTAACATGAATGATATTATAAATTTTAGTTTTTGTTACATAAATATATTTCTAACTCGATTTCATAATGAAGGTTGAAGCAATTATTTATGTATAATATTGATTTGTAAATAAAAATCATATGATTATTCTTTTCAGTTGAGAAAGGTTAATTGACATTTATTTTCCATACTCTTCCTTTATTTATTTATTTATTTAAAAACAAATTAGCTTTTGAAATGCACTGCATTTCTTTATTACACATTTATATATACATATTATAAAGAGACATTGTCTTTGTTAATCGTTTCATAATAATACAGGCAATGTTTAACAAGCGAAAAACAAAGACAATGTGTCTTTATAATATGTATATATAAATATATCGAATAATAGGTATAGTAAAAAAATATTTGATGAAGAAATGCAATGCATTTCGAACGCTAACTTGTTTTTAAACAAAGGAAGAGTATGGTAAATAAAAAATCATATTATTAATGAATATTGTATCTAGTCTGATAGAAAATATCATTAGTATTATGTAACTATTTGGAAATAAATAGCAATCTTAAAATAAAATTGTATCTATTATAAATATATATAAATTTTATTGTAGAACTCGATTGATGATTTCGACTTCTCATACCTCTTTAATTTATTTTATTGTTTTTTTTACGGTTAATAAAATTCTAACTTAAAGTTTCATGGTTGTGTAGAGATTAAAAGTAATCGATAATTTATTTTTTATTTTTTTTGTCTATAAATGCTTTCGAATTAGATTTGAAAGACTTTTTACATATAATATTCTCATTTATTTTTAGTCTTTATCAATCATTAAATTTACTATCTCTGAGTCTTTAATGATAACATATTACTCCTACGCGACAGGTAAGAAGAAAATATTAATTAAATTTACATCTATGAAAAAATATCTAAAATTTTTGCCTTTTACATAGTGTTGCCCACGTTTTTTGGTAATATGAGAGAAAACAGATAAAATAGGTACAGAACGCAAAATCAGTGAAGTAAAGAGTATTCAATCACTCTTCACACCAATACATATAGACCCTTAATAAGCTTCATGCTTCATAATAGTTTATATTTGAAAAGAAAAAGAAGAACATGAGTGATAAAGAGCCACTATTAAAGAAACATAATAAATCACCTATTGACAATGATAGTGACAATGAAAACAAAAGGTACGATTTAAAAAAATATAATATTGATAAACAACACATAATAACTCATCATTATTTATAGTTTTTCTGAGTGGCGTCAATATTTCAAACAGCAAAAGACTGATGCTAAGAATAAAAAGTTAAATGATGAAATCAACCAAACTACTAAAGATATTCCAGTCGGTGTTTTACAACTGGTAAGTATTATATTCAAACATAAAATATCATAAGAGAAAGTAATAAAAATACTAAGTTGAATGCATGTTGTTTTTCTTTTTAATATATATATATATATATATGAATTAATTCATTTCATTTAATGATAGTTTCGATTTGCTGATCGTATTGATATTTTTCTTATGATTATTGCTGTGTTTTGCGCATTAATGCATGGAGTTTGTGCTCTCGCAAATGTAATTCTTTTTGGTCGAATCACGGGATTATTTGCCACTACATCATTTTCTGTTGATTGCGATAATCAATATGAAAATTTCGTATCTACAATTATCAATAATACTGTATGTCCTCTTGGTATTGATCTTAATCCATTAAATTATGATCGATTAAATAAGTAATTTATTGCAAAATATTCTTATTTTGAATCTTTTGAATTTTTTCATTCGTAGGCTATGCCATTATGATAATAAAACTATTTCATCCACATTAGCTCCATTAACGCCTTTATTTCATGACAATGTTATGCATCTGATTTACTGGTTCTTTGGTAAGTTTGTTGAATATGATGATTTTAATTAAAAAAACAAACGATTTGTTATTTCTCTATATCAATGTAGGTGTCAGTATTTTGGCACTTCTATGTTGTTCTCTTGAATATATCTGTTGGACAGTTGCTGCGAAACGACAAACATCTCGTATGAATGTTTTACTCTTTCAATCACTTCTTCAACGTGTAAGTAAAAATATTTTTTTACACACATAAAATACTTTACCATTCGTGAACATAACTCATAATTGAATAGTATAGAATTTCTCCTAGATGACTTAAATTTAGTACAGATCTGATTTATTGAAGAGTAAATAAAATAAATGAGTATAACCGATTAAACCAGTTAGAATACAGTTTATTCTATTTATGTCTCTTGCTCCGTGCCAAGCATAAAATAAAACTAAGTAGATCATTTTAGCCTCGATTTCTGATTTTTTTTTTTCAAAAATATTTCTCTAATCAACAGACTAATAATTCTAAAAACATGGTTAATATATCAATTACATTATGATTTAAGATAAAATAATATATTATTTCTCTTTCATTCTTTAGAACATGACTTATCTGGATATAAATCAAACTACTCAATACAATACGATGCTTTTTACGTAAGCAAATTAAATAACTTTATAACAAACAATTATATATGATCGATTTTCTTTACAGTAATATTGAAAAGATCAAAAACGGAATAGGTTTTGAATTCTTAGTAGTAATTGGACTTATTATAGTTATGATTCTCAGTATAATCATGTCTTTTATTCTGAATTGGCAATTGTCTTTAATTATGTCTTGTCTTATTCCACTTACCGCTGGTAGTTCATTGATATTTGGAAAGGTATAAATTATTATTTAATTTGCTAAAATCTTATCAATAACTATAGGTTATCACTAAAGAAACAGAAGCACAATTAAGTACATATTCAAAAGCTGGACAAATTGCTCAAGAAGTATTTGGTTCCTTAAAAACTGTTCTTTCATTCAATGGAAGCAAATCCCAACAAAAACAGTAAATAAATAAATACACAAAGATGTATAGTTTATTTTTATCTAGATATGAAAAAGAACTAAAATTGAATGAATGGTATACTGTTCGCAAAGATGCTGCATTTGGTATATTTATGGGTTGGTTACTTTTTATAAACTTTGCAGTTTATTCAATTGGTTTTACTTTCGGTTCGATTCTTATGGCTTATGGTAACCATCGTTCACTGACCATTAGTGAGATTCTTGTTGTAAGTGAACTATAACATCAATATGCAAGAAAGTAACTGAAAAATGAACTTTCGTTTAGGTTGTAAATATGTTTGCACAAGCTTTAGGGTATCTTACTGCAGTTGGACCTTTCTTTCAATCAATTTCGGAAGCTCAAGGCGCAGCAGTAACCGTATTTCGACTTATTGATGAGGTAAAATCAATTAAATACTATAGCGACTAAATCTTGGTAATTATATTTCTATTTCATTTTTTATGATATAGGCACATGATGCAAATATCAATGAAAGAGAAATATTACAAGAGAACATATCTGATGAAAACTCGATTTCCAATATCAATGGTGATATTGAATTTGATAATGTTAGTTTTTCTTATCCATCTAGAGAAAATGCAACAGCCTTGAATAATCTTAAATTAGTTGCTCGTGCTAATCAAACAACTGCTCTTGTAGGTTCAAGTGGTTGTGGTAAATCTTTTTTTTCTAAAACAAACATAACATTTTAATATTGAAATTTATTGTGATAGGAAAAAGTACATGTGTATCACTTCTTCTTCGCTATTATGAACCTTCTTCAGGTAGAATTATGATTGATGGTCAATCAATTACAGATTATAAAATCAAACAATTTCGTCAAAATATTGGAGTTGTTAGTCAAGAACCTGTAAATTTCTTTCGTTTTTCTTTTGGTCTCTGTTGAATTTGTATATTGAAATAGATTTTATTTGGAATAAGTATTTATGAAAATATTCGTTTTGGTAAATTGAATGCAACACGTGCAGAGATTGAAAATGCAGCAGAACACGCTAATGCACATAAATTCATTATGAAATTACCAAATGTTTGTTTTTTAATTATTTCTTTTTATCTATATGTATTATTATTTATATTTATAGAAATATGAAACACTTGTTGGGGAACGTGGTATACAATTGAGTGGTGGTGAAAAACAACGTATTGCATTAGCTCGTGCACTTGTCAAACAACCCAACATTCTTTTGTTAGATGAAGCAACAAGTGCACTTGATAATGTTAGTGAAAAAATTGTTCAAGAAGCACTTGATCGAGCATGCAAAAGTAAGAATTACTTAATTACTGTTGATTATATTATTATTATTATTAATATATAGATCGTACAACTATAGTTATTGCTCATCGTTTAACTACAATTCAAAATGCTGATTATATTTATGTATTAGATAAAGGAAGTGTGATTGAAGAAGGTACACATGAAACATTATTGGCAAAAGAAGGAGGTAAATATCAAACAATGATTAAAATGCAACAATCTGAAAAAACGATTGGTACACATGATGGCTTAATGAATATGGCAAAAGCAGTAGCTGAAGATGAAGAACAACTATGTATGTTACTATTCTAATATTAATAATTATTAAATTTTATAAACATCATTCTGTTTTGTTATTTGGAATAGTGGAACGTGTTCGTCAATTGAGTGAGAGCGAAACAATTGATACAAATCGGGTAAAAATAAATATCTAATAACTTGAAAAAAATTATTATTAATGTATAAATTAATAGAGAGCTTCGACGTCAGCAAGAGAAAAATCTGTTTTTCTTAGACTCATGAAGATGAACAGTCCTGAATGGATGTTTATTTTGATTGGTTGTTTAGCATGCTTACTTGGTGGATTACGTGGACCAGTGTTCTCGATTCTATTCGCAAAAATAATTAATGTAAGTAATTTTATTCATATGAATACTCCAGGAAAAGATGAAAGATGTATCTTTTTCTGCCGAATTTATCTTTTATTTAGGAATTTAATGATTGTAAATACGATGATGTACGTCGTCGAGTGATGATTACAAGTGGTTTATTTCTTATTACTGGCGCTCTTTTTCTGGTTCTTCATTTTTTTCAAGTAACCATATTATTTCTAAACTAAATCAATGAGTTTTTTCATGTTCGTTTATAGTTTGTGGCTTTTGGAGTCGCAGGAGCGAAATTAGTTAGTCGCATTCGTTCAAAAGCTTTCGCATGTTTTCTTCGCCAAGAAGTCGCTTATTTCGATCGACCTGAAAACGGTTCTGGTGCTATATGTACTCACCTCTCCTCTAATGCAGCTGCTATTGAAGACATGGTTGGTACAAGATTAGGTGTTATTTGCGAAACTTTATCCTTGTCTATTTTTGGCTTCGTACTTGGCCTTTTTTTCAACTGGCAATTAACAATAATCATAGCTATTCCTTTCGTTCTCCTGTTGATCATCAGCATTATTCAAATACGGTTGAGTTCATGGTTAAAAACACAATCGGATCTCATTTACTCTCAAGCTAGCACGGTAAAGTCATCTTGTTATTCATAATCTTTTAATGTATAATAGAATTATGTTATTATATATTATTTGATGAAATGATTATTAAATATTCATTTTGTATTTTGTCTTGTTTAGCTTGCTGTTGAAGTTATTACCAATATGCGCACAGTAAAACAGTTATCAATGGAACATGAAGTTTCACGACAATATACGAATATGATTGATCAAGTATTAATGTTAGTCTTTTTGTCGTCGTTTCCTTAGTTAATTTTTTTGAGATTCTTCATTACTATGAAAGAAGTTTTTTATGAAAAATTAGTAATAGTTTGTTTTGACAAAGCTAGAAATTATTCATCATCTTGCATTATATTTACATACTGCATGAGACAAAAATTGAAGACAAAATGAAAAGATGAAAAGTGATTAAGAACTTTAAATTCTATGAGAATGTATACTTATATTTTCAAAAAAAGCTTTTTTTGCATAGTAATGAAAAGTCGTAAAAACTAACTGGGAAAACAATAGTAAAATCGAAACTTGAGTGAATTTTGATGCTGTAGTTGCTTCATTGAGTATTCTTAATAATTTTGATTAATTTTGTCAAAAAACATGCTCTTCTATATTGATAATGGACTAATAAAATCGAATATAACTCTCTTTTTTCCACAGATATTCAGTTCAATCTTCAATAAATTTTCTTTTGTATAGAATGTTTTGGAAGCCTGAGGCAATGTTTTCAATAGTATTTGGATTGTACTGGGCAATGGACTCAGCAACTTTGGGACTTTTGTATTGGCGTGCTTTGGTTCTTGTTGAAAAAAACGAAATGGACATGAGCGATGTTGTTATGTAACTAAAACAATAACTTTGATAATATATAAATTAAATTTTATTATTTTTTATTCTTATAGGATATCTGCTTTTGGAATGTTTGCATTAGAAGCACTAAAAATGGTTGGAATGTTGTAAGATATAGAATTTATGTTTTTTTGTTTTTGTTTTTATTGTTTATCATTTCAGAGCCGAACGTATTGGCAAATCATTTGCTGCTGCTCATGCATTTTTTGATCTATTTGATCGAATACCAACTATTGATAATGGATCTAATAAAGGACAAGAATTAGTAAACGAAAAAAAGCTATTGTCTTTCAATTGTAGATTTTAATCTTGATTTGTTTAGACTAATTTTAGTGGAGAAACAGACTTTAATCAAGTTAAATTTGTTTATCCAAGTCGTCCAACAGTTCTTGTTCTTAATAAACTTCAATTATCTATTAAATCAGGTCAACGTATAGCTCTTGTTGGTATGTTCAAATAAGTTATATTTTCTAATTTATTAATCATATAATATAATCGATTTAGGTGCATCTGGATGTGGAAAATCAACCATAGTCCAATTATTAGAACGATTTTATGATGTTACACATGGACAATTGGTAAGTATCTCTTTTCTTTCTATAATTCAAGTACTTATACAAACGATATTAATATAAACAAGCTTCTTGATGGTGTTGATATTCGAAAATTAAATATTCAATGGCTTCGTTCTCGTTTGGGTATTGTTAGTCAAGAACCAGTTTTATTTGATTTGACAATTGCTGAAAATATAACATATGGATTAGAAAATATATCAATGGACGAGATTGTTCTTGCTGCAACTAAAGCTAACATTCATCAATTTATTCAACAATTACCTCAAGTTAGATTAATATTAAATTATTTTCTAATATTATCTTATATTTTCATATAGGGTTATGATACGAAAGTTGGAGTCAAAGGTAGTTTTTTATCAGGTGGTGAAAAACAACGTATTGCTATTGCTAGAGTTCTTATTCGTCGACCTAAAATATTATTATTAGACGAAGCGACAAGTGCTATGGATCCATATAATGAACAAGTAAGTTTATTTTTCTTTTATATATATTATTAACATTTGTAATTAAAGATAGTACAAGTAACTCTTGAACAAGCACAAACAGAAGATCCTAGTCGAACATCACTTATTATTGCACATCGTCTTTCAACAATACGTTCATGTGATTTAATATATGTACTTGAAATGGGTCGTATAGTAGAAAGTGGAACTCATACAGAACTAGTACAAAAAGGTGGAATTTACTATACAATGTTAAATGCTCAAAACAATGTACACTAAGTGTTATTCAACTACTTTATTATTAAAAAATAAATAATTTTACATGTATAACCATGAAAGTGTTTTTACCAATTTTCTTCTTTTTCTTTAATATGTATGAAATTAGCTTTGAATTAAATTATATCTAATTTTATAGAAAATTTCAATAATCAACTTTTGTATCGAAAAAGTATTTTAATGAAGTAAATAATAGAAGAGAAATTGTGAAAGTATCAAGACAATATTTTATTTTACATTATAAGTTTACAATATCCATTGATTAATCTTTTATTATTATCTTGCCATAAAAAAATAACACATATACTTCACATACTTTTACATAATCTCTTTGATCGGATCTGTGGTGTATCCTAATTTCGAGTCAAAATATTTGTCATCATATTTGATTTATTAGAAGAATATTGATCGTTATTATTAATAATAGGATTTACAGAGATAGTAAAAAGTTTAAAACATATATAATAGTAGAAGGATGAATATCGGGATGACTAAAATTACAGAAGACACCTACACCCACCCTTAAAGTTTCTATTATTGAAAATGCTCAAATCTGATAGATATAATTCTATCTTTCAATTGATTCTTTGTTGTAAACAGTTTATTTTGGACGAATAATAATGATCAGTAGGAATTTAGTCAAACATGCAATATATTACATGTGGGATATTGACATAGATCTGTTTATACACAAAGATAATTCAAACAATGTGATCTTCTTCTCTTTGACTAATAATTTAATTTCGATTCAAGTTGATTTCTTTAGGTCTTTAATAAGATTCTTGAAAATATCAATGTCGATAATCGATCGAAAAACAGTCTAAGATTTAATTAGATAAAATATCGAAGAGAAAATCCTCTGATATTTAGATGGTGCATATTAGATTTTGTTGGTTTTATACAAAAATGATAAAACAAGAAAATTTTCTCCATGAATATATCGCAGATGAACAAATAATCCTATTATTTTTTTCTCTAATCGAACAAATTATTTTAATGTATAGAAGATTTAATGTAGAAGGAAAATAAATAATGAAGAATAGAATACTTAAACGGGTTTGGTGAGAAATGTCGAAAAGTAAAACGTCGAAAAAGAATACGTCGAAAGTAAAAGTAGGAAAATATCGAAAAGCAAAATATCGATTATAAAATAGCAAAAGAGAGAAACGTCGAAAGGAAAACACCGAAAAAGAATATGTTAAGAAAATCGGTTTATTCAATCTTTGGAGTTTAATGAAAGTAGTTTATTGACGGTGTGAGTGTGGGTGTGAATAATATATAAGACCACACTCGCTCAAATCTACACCTACACCCGCACCCACACCCTCAAGATGGTTTTAATAATTTTTCCAAAATTCCGATTTAAAAATGTGCTTTTTTTGAGGATGTGACTGTGGGTATGGATTTATCTTTTCTTTATCCACACCAGCACCCGCACCGTATGACAGTTTTTCAATGAGTATGTCACCAATATTCTATATATCGACTTATACATATGATTGCGTAAAATATCTGTACACATTTGTAGATAACACACCGATCAAATACAATGACAATGAATTAATAAAATGGATTTAATCAAAAGCAGATCTTTTAAATAATTTTTATTGAATACTTCTAGCTATTTATTATTACGTGATATTTCGTAATAGTGTTGAATGAAATAAACAAGATGTTGTAAAAGAATACATGTTCAAAAACCTATTTGACATACGAGATTCAGCATGAACCAAGCTATAAATGTGATGAGAACTGAACATCTAAATATTGAACTATCATTATTCCAATCTTTATTTAATCCAGATAATTTTTACGACTATATTTTTTTTCGACTCAGAGTGTAATTTAGAATAATAATAAAAATAATTTTATTTGAAAAGGAAACAATCAAATAAAGTACCTTTTGTAATATTTTTAATATATCTAGACGTCACATGATTTAACAAAATATTTTAATCTATGATTTAAAACAATAATATCATGATAAATAAATTTCTTTTTCCTTTATTATCGGATTATTTGAAATTACAAAAATAGTCGTCTGTTATCATTTATTATATGTATGAGAAGAATTAGCATCTGGATTTTTCGATAATAAAACCTGTTATAGACAATAGAATCCTGTGATACAAAAAAAGTTTTCATCCAAATACAACAAGGAAAATCATGCACTGCTTAACGATCCTTTGCTCAGTAGTAATTGTTCTATTATCATTGAGCAATGTTTATTGTGACAAGAAAACAGACATTGATGTTCTTCAACAATTAATCGATCATATGAGTGAAGATGGCAAACAAAAAATTTCCGAATCCCTTTCTCAAAATTCAACTGCAGGTCGACAAGATAATACACATTGGTGTTGTAATATTAACCCTGGTACTTTCTTCTATTCTATTTCTATAGAATTATAATTCATCTAATTGTCTTTCAGGTACTGAAGCATTAACAAGAACTCGTCAAACGACTTATGCTGTTCAACGTCATTCACGTACTAAATGCGGTTACAGTGACTGTGGTTTATTTGGCTGGTCAAGTTGCACAAAATGGTGTGATAATTATTGGACAGAACTACAATATGGTGTTGAAACATACCTAGCCTATCAAGATCGTCTTTGTCCAGCAGCAAATCTTGTTTGTTGTGCTGGTTATATCACTGTTATTAATCATTGTTTTACTTATGAAGAAGTTATGAATAACAAAGATATTTTAGAGATTATTGTTGCTATGGGTATTCCTATTAATCCTACAATGGGTTAAAAGAAAAAATTTTTGAAAAATTTTAATAAAAATAAACTAACGCCATCTATTGAAAATAAATTCTATTTGTTGATTCTCTTACCAGTATATGAAGAAGAACAAAGAGCTTTCTTTTTTTTTGTATTTTTACATATTGCCATTTGTTTTGTGCATATCGATAATGGCAACTCGAACATCCACACGATCAACAAAAGCTGTCAAATTTGTTGATTCAACGAATGATGATGATGAACATGAATTTGATACTTCCGAAGCACCGATAATTAAAGTTGAACCAAAAAAAGCTAAAGCTCGTGGTCGTCCACGACGAAATCGATCATCAAATGATGACGATGAAGAGTGGGATGCAAGGAATGAACATATTGAAAATGATGATGAGGAAGATGAAGAAGTTAGTGAAGGAGATGAAGATGTAACAAAAAAATTCAAAACAAATCCTGTCAATCGTTCCATTGATTCTGTTTATGATTTTGGGTAAGAGAATAAAGAGTTTTTTTTTGTTATTTGATAAACCTTTTCTTTTTTCATTAAAGAGAAATGAGTGGTACGGCAAGGAAATGGACAAAAACAACGACACAAACACCACAACGTAATAGTACTGTTAGTGATACAGGAAAATCTATGGAAAAACTAATGTGTTCATACTGGTATAATAAAATTTACATTCAAGAATCTTTGAAATCTATTCTAAATTTAGTAATTATACAACAACAAAAAAATATCTACTTCAAAGACATCTTAAATCTCATTCAACTGAACGACCACATAAATGTATGTAAATATAAATATAAATAAATAAATAATTGATTTATTTTTCGTTTACTTAAGGTGCTTATTGTGATCGATCATTTAAAACAACTATTCAATTAACTAATCATGTGAATACACATTTAGGTGTTAAACCATTTCAAGTAAAAATCTTTCATTAAAACTAAAATTATCTAAATAGATCTTGTTTTTTCTAGTGCAAATTCTGTTCATTTTCTTTTACAACTAGTGGAGAACTTATCCGACATGTTCGATACAAGTAATAAAAAGCAATACTATTTCTTTTTAGTATTATTATTGTTCTCTATTTTTTTATAGACATACACTAGAAAAACCACATCGATGTGAAGAATGTGGTTATGCTACTGTTGAATTAAGTAAATTAAGACGGCATATTCGTACACATACTGGAGTATGTTTTTTATTTGTAATAATATTAAAGAATATATTATCTATATGTAAATATAGGAAAAACCGTATGCATGTCCACACTGTTCATATTGTAGTCCAGATACATTTAAACTTAAACGACATTTACGTGTACACACTGGTAAGATCAAAAAATTAAGAATTTAATAATTTCGAATGATCTTTATTTACTAGGCGAGCGTCCGTATCAATGTACAATTTGTAATTTTCGTTTTACGCAAAGCAATAGGTAAGATTATTGATTATATTATAAAAATTTTCAAAGTTAGAAAATGATATTGTCTTGATTTATTCAAATAGATTTACCTAATTAAAATATATGATTATCACGTATAATTTCTTTTAGCTTAAAAGCACATATGTTAACCCATCAAGCTGAAAAACCATCGTTTCCTTGTTCATATTGTCCATCTGTAATGGCAAGAAAATCTGACCTTCGTTATCATATCGGTAAACAACATGCTCGTCAATCCGAACCTTTATCATGTAATAAATGTGACGAAGATTTTCCTGATAAGTATGTTATCTCTTATATTATTTAATAAAATAAACTGTTTTTGTTTTATTTAAGATATTCATTACGTATGCATGGTAAAACTCATAAAGGTCAAACAATTCATTCATGTAATCATTGTGAATTTTCTGCGAATACAAGTCAACAACTCGAAGATCATATGAATAAACATCGTGGTACACGTCCATTTCAATGTAGTGAATGTGGTTTGATGTTTGCAGCACGTGCTGATTTACGTGCTCATGTTACACGTACACATCGAAATGCTGCAACACCAACAACAGCAACAACAACAGCAGCGACATTGTCAGCAGCAATGAATTCTCCAATAGCAACTAATCGTCGTCCACAACGACGTGCAGCATCTTTACAACATCGTTATATAGGTGTATCATCAGGTGCAGAAGATGAAGAACATCAAGAAGATGATTATCGTTGTCCAATATGTCATCGACAATTTACATCAGCACGTTTACTTGATCGACATACATATGCTGTACATGAACCTAAACAAGATTCGTATGATAATCGAGATTATCAAACAAATGAAATTGAAGATGAAGATGATGTACGTGATTATGCTGATGATGAACTTGAAGAAAAACCAAAAGCAAATATAAATATTAAAAATGAAATGCATGCAAATCAATTAAAACTTGAAGATGGTATAACAGATGATGAACAAGGATTAGATGAAGAAGAACAAGATTTAGCACCTATTGTTGAAGATATTATTGATGGTGATGATGATTTTGAACAAATACCAACAATTAAATCGATATCATCAGCTGGAAGAAAACAACTTGGTATTATAAGAAAATTTGATGAAATCGAAAATGATGATGATGATGATGGTCTGTCACATAAACGAAAATGTATTATTAATCGAGGTAGATATATTTGAAAAACAAAAACAATATCATTTTACTTTCTTTTTTTTTCTTCTCTAGATGAACATGATGAAAAACCTGATTTTGATGTATTTGGTTTCAACGGATAATTATTACTATATTATTTTTTGTTTATATTTAACAGAATCTATTCTTGCACTTAGTAGATATTCTTCTCACCGTGTTTGTTCGTTTGTTTATTTGTTTGTTTGTAACGCGTCTGTGCGTGTAGCAGAAAAAACTTATTTTGGTTTTTTTTTTTGTTGTTCATTTCTTCTTCTTCCGAGAGATAATACATAAGAAAAAATATTGTATCCGAATAAGTTTCTTTTTCTATGTGTATATATATACATATATTGATTATATTAAAAAAAAAAAGTGAATACATCAAGATAAAGTGAACGATGATGGAAAAAAAATTGTTTTTTATATATTGCACGTATTGATAAAGAATATCTAACTACAGAAATGTTTCTTTTCAGCCTTCAGAAATCTTATTCAATTTGGAGTTTCAAGTTTCTCGACAAATTGTAGCTCAGTCTAGAGTATCTATTAGAGCAATCAAAAACAGATGATTACAGTTTTCAGGTAGAGTTTTTCGCGAAAAATTAGATATCCGTAAACTCCAAATTTGGAGCACACTTGATTTGATCAGATTTTTGACAAGTTGAATTCATGTTATCTAAGTATTTGTTTATTTTACAGATTAGTTTATTGTTGAATTGATTTTTTCAAGAATAAATTTTGTCGTAAGCTATTTCTTTTTCAAGATGATAATACAACGATATCATCGTTCATTATTTAAACTTTTTATGTTTTTTGGTTTACCATATAGTACTACAATGACAACATCAAATAACAATAATTATCAATTCTTCGAAAAAATTTCAGGTTATGAAAATCGAAAAAATGATGTATTATTTTTTCCAAATTCATCTAATCTACCAACAAAAAATATTGTTTATTATTTTGGTGGAGATATTCAGGTAACTTTAAAGGGATTTTTATCGACCTATATATTATTATCTGACGTCGTTGTTTTTTCTTAATAATACTCATGTAAATATAAGAAGTCTGTTAATCGTATCCATTTGTTGGTAATTAAAAACAAAGCACATCCTATTTGGAGAAGTTTTTAATAGCAACAAAAATATTATGTATATTTTGTTTTGCATGTAGTATTTATTATTTTACCAAAGGCTATTGAGAATATTTTCAACAAGTATTAATTATTTATGAATAAAATACAAGATCTTCTTTCACTCATAAGCCTAGAAAAATATTATATGTCCACATACTTATAAAAGAGATTACTAGAAGCTTGTGGAACTAATTCAAACCTGTTGACATTGTATCCGGACATATTTTTTTCACCGAGATTTACTATAAAATCAATAAACAAAACGCTTTGAAGTCTAACATCTGTTTAGTTTATTATATATCAGAAGAAATATTGAGAAAAGCATTAGTTCTATACGTTTACATATATTTCATTAGTAGATCTTGCGAAAGCTAAACGCTTGTATTTTTTACTATAAACATATCGATATTATATTCTCATGTAATTTGTATTTTTATCTAGTTACATTTTTTTTGTGATGACATATTTCATGCCGTTCTCTTTTTTTCTCTATTATATTATTTAGTACAGTACTCGAATTTCTTCATTGGCATATAATTGAAAATGCTTTCAAACGTAACAATCGCAACACAACAAAAAGCATCTAGAACACCAGATTTTCTTTCGATCTATGTCTAAACTATTTATGTCAATAATTGATTTGATGTATTAATTAAATAATGACAAAACTGATAATATCTATTAAAGACGAAATCTGGAGAATGACATATCCATTTATATAATCATATTACGTTACACACTATAAATGCATGCTATTAAATCTTCGACATGGTTAGAAGATACCATCCTATATCACAGATATTACATACAGAATGTAGTTAGTGACTTTCGCTTATGTTTTAGTTTCTTATGTTTATACGACTAGTATAAAAAAGTCATAATATATCATTAAAAACGCCATTTTAGGATCAAGAGAACAAATCTCTGTATAGATATAGTTCGATGAAGATCATACTTGCTATATATATAAATTAATTGTTATCATGATCTTGAATTAATGAGATGCTCTTTATAAAGAGCATTATAGGATATATTATAGTTATATCCTTAGACAAAATATAATTAAAGCTTTATGGAATATGTCAAAAGCAAAACAACATGTAGATTATAATTATAATACATACTCTATTAGTACAAAAACTGAATTTGTATATATAATAACGAACAACTTTGCTATATGAATGTGAAAGAAATTGTCTTTTTTTATCGTTTTGATAAGTACATTGCATGCTTTAGTTAGACTTCCGTAAGTCGGAAATAGAGTTTTGTTTCATCAAGTTTATTCCCGTATGAATTCAATTAAGTAATTAGTGATTTGAAAATAAATCTTTCTTTTTTGTTCTATATTTAGGATTTACCTGAACAGATGACTTTATCTAGAGAAAATCGACAATATCAACGTTGGAATTTAGTATCAACTGGCGAAATTCTTTCTCGACGTTTTCCAGATACTTCAATTGTTATTGTGCGACCAAATGAAATGAAAGATGGAATTTTTTCAAGATTTTCTAATTTTGTACCTAAAACCACTGATTATGGTGATCCGATTTCATATGATACAACTAATCTAATTGGTCTTCATCATTTACAAGAACTTGATAAACAAATTATAAAGTCATCAATGTTAGATAATTATTTACTATTCATTTTTTTCTAAATTGAATTTTATTTAGATCTTCATCTGATATTACTTTAATTGGTTTTAGTAAAGGTTGTGTAGTATTGAATCAACTTCTTCATGAATTAACTAGTTTAAGAATGATGAAAATCGAAAATGAACTATCAAAATTTGTATCACGTATTCGTAAATTTATTTGGCTTGATGGTGGACATAATAATGGAGAGCGAACAATGATCTGGCCAACAGATGAAAATCTTCTATTAACTTTTGCACATTTTCAAATCGAAGTAGAAATTTATGTTACACCATTTCAAATAAATTCAATGAATCCATATAAACATATTCATACTGAACAATATAAAAAATTTTCTCAATTATTACCATGTCAATCAATAAATAAAATGTTTTTTGATAATGAAAAACCTTCCATAGATAAACATTTTGAATTATTAAATATATTTTAAATAAACAATCAATTGATTCAGAATTATTTTTTATCAGTAACAAAATAATCTATTTACGACATCATTGATCAAGATATTTAATGGCTTTTCAGAATGATGGATTTGTTTAGAAATCATATGTCATCTCATACTACAATTTCTTTTTATCTTATATAAATATAAACATTTTGATAAGTTTAATGAAGTATATCTATTCATATATCCTTGTAAAATACTCAAACTATATTTTCTCAAGATTATAAGTAGATTTAAAACCAGGCATGACAAACGACAAAATAATTCTATTTATGTCAAGTTAATTAGAATGTATTTTGTATTACGAGTAATGCATAGTCTTATTAGCTAGCAGAAAATACATCAAACTAATGTTACCCTTCGGAGATATATCATAAACATGTTCGAGACTATCATCTGACAATATTTTTATTGCCAAAGTCGAACTAAGATATATATGATTTGTCCCTTGGAGCACGCAATATGTGATATTACAAGTAACATACTCTAATCATTATAAAGCAGATGATAAGTTTAATACTTTGAGAATCTCAAGAGATTTACAAGAAAGTCTATTGTTTTATGTTGTATAATAAATCATTGACGGTTTTTGTAGTTATATTTATTTATAAATAATTAATCTAACTAAATTTGTTCGATTGTTAAACAATCATTATTTTTAAGTAATCTATATAACTTAAAACAGTAAAAAATGATGATTATCTATAATAGAAAGAATAATAAATAAAAATAGTTTGATAATAAAAATCAATTAAATATTTTTTTACTTGTAAAACTGATACTATTGAACAAATCGAAACAAATATAATGGCGACAATTATTCCAGCATTTACAAATCCATCACGTGTTGCATCATGAATAATTCGTATTAAAAGAACTACAATAATTAAGATCTTTAAAATAAGTGCCCCTAAACCAAGTAAGACAAACTAAAAATAAAAAAAATCTTATTAAGAAAAATCTAATAGAAATAGATGATAATACTTACAAAAAGTAACCCTGTTTGATAATAACGATGAGTCACTAATAATCCAAAACCATAGTAAATTAATAAGACAATAACTACTGCTAGTTGAGAACTACTATTTGGAGATTGATTTTCTAATGATTCACTAGCAGCATATGAATGAATGACAAAAAGAAAATTAATCACACAAAGAACCTATAAAAAATGAATAAATTACTTTTTGATATACTTTTTTTTAATTTTGATTCACTTACTAAATTAATTCCGATAAAAATCAATGAATATCTTCGCACCCGTTTGATTTCAGGATGTTCTTCTAATGACGGTGGTTTGCTTGATTGATTCGATTTCTGAATCATAGCTGAGTTATCAGCTAACTCTTTATTGTACACTTCCATGTATGTGCCTTGTCTTTCCCTTTTGTAAACAGACTGTCTTCTTTTTCTTTTCTTTTTATATAACTACAAAATGAGAGAGAGAGAGAAAAAGAGAAGAACAAGCTGATTCGTTCCGAACATTATTAGACGATAGCGGAAGGAAAAGAATAGAATAGAAGAACGCATTTAGTACGAAGAGAAAGTAGAGAAACACAGTAGAGTAGTTTATAATATTTGAGCAGCAAAAAAAAGAGGGAATGGCGTCAATAGATCTAACGGAACGTCTTCGCTATATAATTGCTTTGTGATCAACTGTGCATATTTGTTTTACATTTCACTATATCAGATAAAAAAATACGAATAAATTTAAAAATACGACTAAATCCTTATTAACAGTATGATAAATTGTCATATGCAAACATTGATTCGATAAAAAAGTACTAGCGTGATGTTAAAATACTTCTCACATAACAATTGAAGTACTCAAATAACCGTAAAAAATTCGAAAAGTTTGCATGATAACTAAAAGCATAATTATCAGTTTACAAGAAGATTTTTAATAGACTAACTTTTTTTTTCTTATAATAAAAAACTAATATAGAATCTATTTTTAAACATCTTTAATTATTAGCTATAAAAATGAAATTAAAGATTTTTATACTAGAAAATCAAACTATACTGTCTAGTTTTGAAGACATTTTGTTAATAACTATAGTTGATATTATTAGACAAAAAAGGATTATGACAATAGAATTATTAGAATAAGTTTGTTAGTTATCGAGGAAAAAAAACTAAAAGGTTCTATATTTTGACAGATAATGTCAATAATAATTACTAAAATATTGTATCGTCAATAGAACTCTTCTATTCACTGCGAATATCTTGACTTTCCATTATTTATTATATCTATCGAATAATAAGAAAAATACAGATGCATAATAGAGTAAGCATTCCACATCCTTTTTTTATCAAGTGTATACGCGCATCGAGGAAAAAATAAAAGAACAATACTATATGTCAACACTATATATTATGATAAATTATTCTATGCACTGAGCATCAGCTTTGTATAAGTCATAATACTGTCTATACTCAAGGATATCAATATACAGAAGTTATCTCTATTAATAACAATATAAAGTAATATATCTCACTAGAAATAATTGATCTAATAAAATCATGATTTATATATATAACAATTTAATAAAATAAAATACACAATTTATCATTGATTTACAGGTTTATTGTTTCATGTATATTGTCATAATTTTTCCTTCTGTCATCTATCGGTAATAATAAATTTTTCCATTCATCAATCATTTTAATCATGATTTCTATCAAAATCTGATTTGTTTATATAACCCATATTGTCAAGATGAAAGTCAAGTCTGTACAGGTGATAGTTATAAATATGATCATATCTATGTATACATATTACTTCTTTGTTATCATGTCATTCAATGATAAAGTATTACTATATAAACAAAACATAAGTTTTTTTTCTTCTATTCTTTTATCAATCAATAGATAGTTTCGTGTAGCAATTGCTAGGACCAAAGCGGTTAAAGAAATTTGATTATAATTGCTAATCATATATGTATACAAATATGCTAAAAGTATTATTAAATCAGACAATTGTGAATAATGAACTTTTCTTTTTAAGCATGATAATCAAACTATGATAATTACTTCCATATATTAATTCCGAATGAGTTATTTTGTAAAGATATTTTTATATTCTAAGAAAATTTAAATTTATTTCCTTTGATACAGAATAAATAGACAATGAACTATTTGTGTTCAATGACAAAACAAACGGAATAAGTAGTCTTTTAATATAATATAATATGATCAATATCAAGGACGTTAAGATCAGTCAATATGAATTTTGAGTGCTGAAAAATAAGAATAAAAGACAATGATTTTTTTTATCTTGAATAATCCATTTTGTTTTAGATTTGACCTGAATATTTCATTGAATAAGCATCGATTCAAGTTCTAAACATACGTCACAAATAAAAATACAAATATCCGCTTTTAGGAACACTCGAAAATATTTTTATTATTAGACGAGCTATATGTAGACACAATGTGTACCAATATACGAATAAGTTTTTACTATCGTCATGTGCGAGAAAATATTTGTTTCTATAACGTTAAACAATTCTAAATGTGATCAATCAATCGTTTTCAATAGATTCTCTACATTCTAAATCATGCAATCTAATTGATTATAATATGAATTGAAACGTTCAATTGTAATATTAAGAAAGAAGAAAAAAACTGTTCAATATGAGTTTTAATATAATTCTTTCCTTCTAATATTCGCGTGTTAAGAATACTTGAATTAACAAAATACTATAGTATATATAATAGCATAGTTTACTATGAAATCTATATAAGAATAAGTCCTGATTATATATTAATCGTGACAAGAATTTTTATTTCAATTTAATTTCATTCTTTGTTACTTCGAGTTATCTTTGATAAAATTGACAAAGTAAAATAGATAACAGAAGTTTATTTGTTAATATATAACATTTTTATCTTGAATTTATATAACAAGTACTTACAAATGTTTTTTTTATGGTCTATTGGAAGTTTATTATTAATTTTGAATTCTTGTATTTGTCAACAATTTTGTATTAATTCTTGTAATTTCAATCATGATTTCAATGCAAATCTAACTCTTCCAGTTAATTGCACAATCATACAACAAGAACGATGTTCTGCTATTCTTATATTCGATTATTCAACTCGTGTTGTTAATATTCAATTTGGTTCATATTCAAAGAAAAAACAACGTGATGATATTCTTTATACATCTGAACTTATTTTAACTACAATGATTACTCTTGAAAATGAATCATCTACTAAAACTAAAGTTGAATTTTATTGTTCGTCTGGTAGTTTTTGTGAATTTAATTACGTTATTAATCAAGTATTACCTGTATACATTCATAAGACATGTCATCATCTTCGTGTCAATTTAATTTCATTTCTCCATTCAAATCCTTTATCTTCATCTCGCTCATGTATGATGAATGATGACAGTGTATCAAAATGTGATCAACCGTGTAAACTCTTTTCACTTAATCCAAATCAAACTTTACGTGGATGTGAAAGTTCAAGTAATTTAGAATTTCAAACAACAATTGGTCGAACAACACCAACAAATAAACCAGAATATGATCATAGACTATATAGCTATACTTGTACTACTGAATTATGTAACGGATATGAAAAACAACAAGAAATTGAGAAATTAATTAAATCCGATAATGGAGAGTGCTTATCGTTTCTTGAAGATATAAATCAAACTACTACCACGACATCATACAATCGAGCAACATCATATTCAAAATCATTTTATCTACCATTTATTTATTTTTTACACATAAAATTTTTCTATATTTTTTCGATATAAATTATTCTATTTTCATTAAAAAGAAACTTTTATTTTTATATCTAATATATTCTCATAAATTTTTCTCCTCGATTAAATAATAACAATAATCACGTTTATCTATTTATCATTTCCTTTATCTATGTACAAAAGAAATATTCTAATAAATGTTAAAGAAAAAGGAACATTGGAGGAGAAATAAGAAATGAAAAAAAAAGTTACATTTTTATAGACGTTAGAAAATCACAGAAAGAAAAAAAGAAAAGAAGAAAAAGAGAATTATTAAAGTTCGATGATTAATATAATTTAATTTTTTTAAAGCAAATATTTAAGTTAATTTAATTTTTCATTGCTTACAAATGGTCGAAAATCATTTTCAAATTGTTTTTCAAGTATTTTCATTGATTGACTAAGTTTCATAAATCGTGTATCATAATCATCATCATTAACATCTTCAATTTGCCAACTATTACTTGAATTTGAACTTGTATCATCATCACCACAATGACCACTATCTGTTTTCGGTGTTATTTCATTTTCTTGTTTAATTTCGGGTTTAATCAAAAATTCATCATGATGATTATCATGTTCATCAATATGAATTTCAACAAGAGATCCATTGATATAAGAAAAATTATCGCACTAAAATTAGAAGAATATAAATCGAATAAGAAAACATTTTGTATTTACTTCTGCACTTAATTTCTTTTTCGAAAGAAAACTTAATTCATGTAATAAATCTTCAGCTGGTTTTAATGATAATTCTAACAATGGAAATATATGAAAATCAGAAGTGAATTTAATTGTTTCTGTTACCTTTTGATTCTTCACTTGTCGATAAAAAATCTCGATAATTTTCTAATACTCGATCCTAGAGAAGAGAAGAATATTTATGGATGAAATTTTTCTGATTGAAAATATTTACATGACGATATTCAAGAAAAGTAAGAATTTTATCTAATGAAATATCTTTTTTAGCTGGAAAATAAACCGTTGTTAATGCAGCTTGAAGAAATGTCCATTTTTGTCGAAGATTAATTAATTCATCGTAATAACGATAATCATCAAAGAATTTTTCATTTTCTACTTGTACATCAGTTGCTTGTTTATCCATAATTGGTGTGATTTTATCAAACATATTATATGCATATTTACAACGTAAATTTAACATAGTATCAGCTGATAAAAAGATTTGATCTTTTAATTTTGTATTAAGTAAATCGGCATCTTTATCAAATTTTTCTAAACATTCATCTAATCGAC